CTTTCTCTCGTCTAACCAACGGAGGAGGTAGGGATGGGGATGGGGGGGGGATGGGGGGTCCCCACCGACCCCCTCCTCACCTGCCCCTTCCGCAGAAAGCGCCATCGAGCTGGACCTTTGCGGCCACGGCCATCCGGGGTGTCAGGTGAGCGTGTCCCCAGTCCCCTTGCCGGCAGGACCGAGGCTGCCCCCCGTGTGCCCGCAGCCCCTCTGCCTGCCCCGTGGGCAGCATCAGCCCCAGCGCTGACGGGGCGGGGGGTCCTCTCTCTCCAGCATCTGCAAGTGCGACGAACGGGGCTGCTTCCTCTACGTGACGCACGCGGAGGAGGATTTCCAGCTCTACTTCCCCTCTCAGCAGCACTGCCAGTGGTGAGCAGAGGGATGGGGGGCACGGGGACCCCCACATTGTGCCGGGGGGCATGGGGGACGCCCAGTCGCTGCCCTGGTGAGCGGGGAGGGGTGGGAGCATGCTATTTCTTCCCTACCTTAATTTTGGGAGAAAGGGGGTTCCTAGGGACCCAACCCCTGCAGCTGGGTCCCACAAAGCAGGGTGGCACAGACCGCCCCTATGCCACTGGTGGGGGACAGACTGGGAGGGGGAGCAGGAGCCCCTCTGTGGCCGGGTCCCCAGCATCCTCACCGGGGCTCAGGACCGTCATCCTCCCGCCGGCAGGTTCTGCGACCGGATCCAGTCCCTCCTGGCCAAGCAGGCGGCGGGTGGCGAGGAGGTGCCCAGCCCCACGCAGCCCATCCTGGAGGTGAGATGGGGACACGGGGTGACGTGGGGTGACACGGGGCGCCGGGTGGCACAAGCTGCCACCCCGCATCTCTGCCCGCAGTACAGCTACGAGTACTCGGAGGCGGGGGACCGGGTGGTCCTGGGCAGGGGGACATACGGGGTCGTCTACGCCGGGCGCTGCCTCAGCAACCAAGTGCGTATCGCTATCAAGGAGATCCCGGAGCGGGACAGCCGGTAGGTGCCGTGCTGGGGGGTCCCGGGGGGACCCTGGGCAGCCCCTCACCCCAGTGTCCCGCCGCGCAGGTACTCACAGCCCTTGCACGAGGAGATCGCCTTGCACAAGCGCCTGCGGCACAGGAACATCGTGCAGTACCTGGGCTCCGTCAGCCAGGATGGCTTCATCAAGATCTTCATGGAGGAGGTGCCGGGAGGTGGGCAGCGCTGGGGATGGGATTTGGGGGTCAAAGGGGGACACGTGGCCATATGTGGGGTCTAAACGGGGTTGCTGCCCCCCCCCTCCCCGTGCCCCCTCTCCAGGGAGCCTCTCGTCCCTGCTGCGCTCCAAGTGGGGACCCCTGAAGGACAACGAACCCACCATCGTCTTCTACACCCGCCAGATCCTCGACGGGCTCAGCTACCTCCACGATAACCACATCGTGCACCGCGACATCAAGGTGAGGGGGTGGGGGGCATCACCCATCCTGGGGGCACGAGGCCTGACCCCCTCATCTCAAGGGGCACCAGGGAGCCAGGAGCTGCCCCTCCATGCCCAAAGACCCTGCTCAAGCTCCAGGAGCATTTTGTGGCTTGGTTTTTTTTTTTTTTGGGGGGGCCCCCCCCCCCCCCCCCCCCCGGGGTGCCCTCACCAGGGAGACAACATCCTATCCTCCAACATCCTCATCAACACGTACAGCGGGGTGCTGAAAATCTCTGACTTCGGTACTTCCAAGCGGCTGGCGGGCATCAGCCCCAGCGCCGAGACCTTCGCGGGTAAGGGCAGCCCGGGGCTGGGGGTGGTGGGATGCCGAGGACCAGGCGATGCTGGGGTCCGCATCCTTGCACCCGGCATGGGGAGAAGGAGGACCCACCGGGGGGGGAGTTTGGGTGATGGATACAGGCTCCTCTCACCCCTCCTCTTCCTCTCCCCAGGCACCCTGCAGTACATGGCCCCGGAAATCATCGACCAGGGGCCGTGGGGCTATGGGAAGCCAGCAGATATCTGGTCCTTGGGCTGCACCATCATCGAGATGGCCACGGGCAAGCCCCCCTTCTATGAGCTGGGCAGCCCCCAGGCTGCGATGTTCAAGGTACCCATGGGGTTGGGCAGGGGATGGGGGGAAAAACCAGAAGCCCCCCCCCCCCCCCGGGGTGGCCGGTCCCTTTTCAGCCCCACGAGTGCCTCCCCTCTAGGTGGGCATGTTCAAGATGCACCCGGAGGTGCCCGAGTCCATGTCGGACAAAGCCAAGACGTTCATCCTGCGCTGCTTTCAGGCCGACCCGGCCGACGGGGCGGGGGGTGGGGTGGCTTTCTGCCTCCTATGACACCTGCTCCCCCTGCCATGTCCCAGCACCGCACCCCGCGATGCCCCCTCGTTGTGCCAGGGCATCACGTCCCTCCCCGTTACAGCTTGGGGGGCTCGCAGGAGGTCCCCCATGCCCTCTGCCAAGCCCGATGGCCGTGCCCTTCCTGAGGCCACACTCCTAAATGCCCGAGGCCGGGGCGGGGGGGGGGCG